TTCTACCAACTTACTTTATCATGTAAGTGAATCGTAAAACTACATATATTTAAATCAATATTATTCCTTACACATACATCAACAAAAAAATGCCGCACTAACGAGGTCCAGCTGTTTGCTGAATAAGGATGTATGCAACTTAATAGACCAAAACATTCCTGTTCGTCTGACTGATATTTAATACACACGTACATATTATTGCTAATATCTTTACTGTAAATACTTGCAAAATTTATTGGTAATTCTGTTACCTAGTTCAAGAGAGAAAAGTAAACTGTGCCTAGTGTGTAAGAGCATCCCAGTAGCATCACGAGCGTGCAATACCCACACCGATTGTCCAAATGGTCTTTAATGTTCTTGGTATCATATTTACTGCGATTTAGATGAAAAAGGTTGGCGACATTCTGCATCGCAGACACCTCAACTCTTCTGCTAGTATAATTATTAATTTGTGGAAAAATCACACAATGTGATTATCTTCTAACTTCTAGATAAATGGCAAACCGAAGTTCGTAAATTTTTAAACAAACGAACAACGCCTTCTCTTGGCACGGAGTTTCTGAAATCAGGTCGTTTTCGTCGCTACTCTGACAGTGACACTGGACGTTATGAAAACTGCACTACGGATTATGACGAAGAGTGCATAACGGAGCAGACTTATTATACGTGTTGTTACTGTTGCGAATGCTGCGAATGCCGTCCAGAGGCTTTGTTTATGTCGAATCTGACCCAAAAGGAACGTGAAGAATTTGACAGCTTGCGCTATAATTGGACTGCAAGCATCCACGATATTATGGAGGGGCTGAAAAATTGGGCACACGGGAAAGGACAAAATATTGAGGTTTGTCAAAAAAAATCAGCTGAAAAGGACTCCATTTCAAGCAAAATTCTAATATAATTGTTATCCAAACGCAACTGTGGTATAGAGGCAAATGCGCTATCCCTATGTTTAAGATCGAGAGTTTAGCTCCGTCGGTGGACCGATCAATCTCACTACTATTCTACATTATCCGTTCGTTTCAGTAGTAGACCTGCGCTCATGTCAGAAAGTCAAAATCACCATCAGCTTGCTTCTACGCAACCACTGAATAACGAAGCCACTGACAGCCTTGATAGCAGATGATTGCTGCGAAAGCGAAGCTTGCCAGTTCTTCTGTTCTGGAGCAAGCGAAATTTCACGAAAATTCAGCGAAGGGTCGAAGAAGTATACAATCAGAATTTATGGAACCATTCTTAATTTAGGATCTCGCCCTACAAGTAGAGGAGGTTTGGTTGTTACTTATAAGCGCCGGCAGGGTTTGTAGTGGGTTTAGCCTACTGCCAAGCGTCCTTGCCTCTTGCAGATTTTAACTTAGGAAAAAAAACCATCAAATTTCATGTAATTTTTTGCAGGTGGAGCTGACTGAGCGATTGCAGAATTACACGGCAGCGAATGCGGAAGCACGGCACGTGGTGGAAGGTTTGCAAGCAAGCGAAAAAGTAAAGAATATACTGCAACAAATAGTCGATCTTCATAATGATTACGGGCTAAGTATGATCCAGCAAGTCTACCGAGAGCAGGACATAATTAACAAGTTGCGGCCACGGATGCAGTATAAAGTGAGAGTGTTTCTGGTCGACCTTTGTCAGTATATCTATAATTCTATAGCGTGATTCTATAGCGTGATAAATCATGAAACAGGGAATGACGATAAATGATATATATCGTGATAAAAGTTCTTCACTACAACCGGTCACTCACAGCATTTACACGATTGCGCAGAAACTGAAAAAAAAAGTTATGGAAGAAGACGCAACTGTTTACCAGTCCATGAGAGCAACTCAACCCCAAATTACGGAAGCATTGAAGCTTATCTTTTAAGAATACAAATCCCAGACCAAAAAAATAGCAGAGTTGCAAATCCCCTGCATCCTAACCGTTAGTCTTACGTATAAAATTTTGTTGAAACTGTAACCTGATAAAAAAGAAAGCCAAAAACCTGAAGTCTGTCGGTTCCCAAACTATAGCACCGTGCTCACCAGAATTTTTAGAGTTCACTGTGCTCCGATCTACAAATCAAACTAAATTTTGAGCTGTTACACATAAACCACCGACCAAAATTCTAGTGACTTCAGTAACATGGATTACTCACACTGACCGTGCGGGCGTTCTTGATGTTCTTAGCATATACTTGAAATTTTGAAACTAATGATTTGAAACAACCTCTGATATTTTTCATGTTTTCAAACCTATGGTTTTTTATGGCAGAATGTGTCTATGGCTATTTGCTTGCCTATCCGCATAAATGAAACTGAAAGCAGCAAAATTTAGGAGGCTAAAATTTTAGCTTACACAAACGAAGACGTAAAATCAACTTTAATAATATTTGTGTCCTAAATTCATGAAGCCAACTCTAAACTCTCCTAACTTGAGGATGTTGAAAGTCACAAATACAGATCGCTGCGGTCATCGCTCGTAAGTGCGAAAATCTAAAATGTGTCAGTAATAATAATAATAATAATTACAATACTATTAATGATAATCTCAATAATAATTGCAATAACACCAATGACACTTATAAGTAGTAATAATAAAAGTAAAAAAAATTACTTTTTCAAATTCAACCGACAATCAAAATTTCCTCAGTTTTTACTTCCGCTGGAAAATGGAAATACTAGAGCTAATTCCTAGAACAGTTACTGAAATTTTAATTTTTAAAAATATGTAGCATGCCCGGAATGTGAAGCAATTTGAGAATTTGGCACACTTGTTTTCTACTCGCCCTCATATCAAAGCGAGTACCCACTGAGTGCAGCTAGTGAAACGAGCCTTTTTTTTTTGGAAGGAAGAGGAACTGTTAGAAAATCCTGGCAGTGGCAGAAAGTATTCAAAACCGGTTGGAAGAGTTTGGCATAGAGCGATGAGGAAAACATCTTGTTTTTTGCAGGTGAAGGTAGGCTTCCGATACTTTTCGTCCAGTTCCCCTCAACATGCCAATCAATTACTGCGACTCACCTTCGGCTTTCTTAAACGCGTTATGACGAAATTCGATAATTTGCTTTATCTCAGTGTCATCGAAAGTTTCGCATCGATCCTTTGAGCAACCTTGCTGAATAAATTCTGAAAAGAATTAGTCTCAGTTATCAAATGAATCACTGTTTTAAGTTACAAACGTGAATAAGACATCGCGTCCGCATGTGAAGAGCAGTGGTTCGATTTCTTCTCCGATCATTACCAGTTGTAAAAGAGGATTCCCTCTATGCAAGGGTCTACGAAACCACAAATAGCAACGTAAATCGAGAAGGCCGAGGTGGTCATCCCTTTCAATAATCATTTCTTTTTGGTACAATTTGCGCAGTGAACGAAGCACTAATAAATATGGATTCTGCCGTGTTTCATCCAATGCAAGCATACCAGAAATTCCTGAACTGCACCTGTTTGGATCTCTGCCTATGCTGCTTGCAACTTTTTTTTTGACAACGATCATTTGCTTTCCACATCCACGTTATTTGATTCAAGTTTGTAGATTTAACCGTGTGTATCAGTGGCCTTGCTGCTGATCTTTTGAAACCCTACAAATATCATCAAATTGTTCGTTTTGTGGGTATGATCAAACTATCCATTTCGTGCATCTATTATTTCTCATACTCGTTAAAAAAAAGCATTTTCCTGGCACATATTCCTTTTATTATGTCTTTTATATCAAAATTCGACCACAGCTCTTCGTTTGGTATGTATAGTAATATAAAGTGTAATTTTAAAAAAAATCCGATTTTTAGCTTATTCTCTTTTCAAGCAAATCCAGTTCAACTTCGGCTCAAAGATTAGGATGCTGTGATTTTTTAATAATTCATTCTGCATCTCTTGTTGATTGACTGAATTCTCATTTTGTGACTTGTAGCTTCTTTATTCCCCGAATTGTACTGGTATCTGCCGGAACTGGGGCGCATCATTCTCTAAAACACTCGTGTATTTCACATTACTTCATCAGGTTGCATCAGAATTTCTGTCTCGATTACTTGGCCGATTTAATAAATTATATTTAATGCCTAATTTGTGTCGAATTTAGGATTTCTCGGTGACAAAATGCGCAAAATTGGCATATTTTGGCTGATTTTGACTGCTTTTGTAACTGGCACTTTGGCCTTCCGACAACAATCGGTTGGCATCAGAGGAAAGCTGATGTGTGGTGACGAGCCAATTAAGGGAGCCAAGCTGAAACTTATTAACCACAATACAGTTGGTAATTCTTTCTATTACCTCGAAAAAGACTTCATCAACTAACTGATTTCAGTGACTGGCAAAATCACGTTTTTTTGCTATACTCGTACATTATTAGCAAAGAAAAAAAAAAAAAAAAA